ATACATGTAATTATTGGCTTACATGTGTATGTTAGTGACAGGAACTGTTATAAATCTTTAGAAATTATAATTGGCAAATCCCTTGGTTGAATTAAGGAATTAATGGATATTAGGGTGGATGTAGATTCTCTCTCAAATTCTATTAAAAAAGAAGGAGATGTTGATCCTTTTCTCTCTTGATTTATCTCTACAACCAATTTAAGAGAGTTAGAATCTAATTCTTTTTCTCCTACTTCATAGTCTAGATTTAATTCAAATAGGTTTAGAACAAAAATGTCTTTTAATGTTGGATGAAGAGATTGTTCATTCAATCATTTGGTCTCTACTCGTTTGAGCTTTGATTTATTTTTCTTGCTTATAAGTTTCAGATTATCTATGGATGACGATAAGTTGAAATGCTTAGATCTAGTAGAAAAATACATCTATATAATTATAAACATATTGTTCAACTTAGCGCAATTTTTAATCTATCTAATTCTCCTACAATTTAAATTTTGAGCTCCTCCACCTACAAATCACTTAAGTACTTTCTAATAGGAAAAGAAAAAATAAAATAAAATAAAATAAAATAAAGGAAGAATGTTTACTTGAATATTACCCTAAGCAAGACTATTTTTCACTTTAATTGTTATATGGAACTACCATATATAAGAGTGACCTTAAATTATCTTCATTGTGAAAAAAAAAAATCCATATCGGAAAATCATGAAGCTTGAGTTTTTTCTTTTTTACCTTTTTATAACAAGAAAGTTAGAAAATTACCTACTTCAATAGTTAACAATACTTGTTTACTAAACAAAAATTGTTCTTTATGAGAAAATCACAGAAAGACTCACCTACTTGCATCTCTAACCAATGTAGCATGTATTAAAGAATTTCAATGTGAACTTCCTCCTATCCAATTCAAACTAATCAATTTTTTAAAAAACTATTTTTGAGTTGGGATAAGAAAGGATTCTAAAGCTCTATTGATTGTAAAGAAAATAAAATCTATAAGAAGATTTAGAATATTACTTCTTCTTGCATCTTCCTTCTAAATTCTACCCTCCAATTATTAACTCTTGCTCTTTGTATTCAAGAAATTTTCTAAAATTTCAAAGAAAAAAATAATTGACAAGGTTCAAGGACTTACTTGTTTGCAAGCTATTAATGCTTTTTTCTTTTCTTCTTATGCCCCTTCTCTTCAAATTACAATCTATGTTAGCAAAATAAATTTAAAACTAAATAAATTTTGTTGAAGAGATATTCACCTTAGATTATAATTTAAACTTATTGGTCTTTTTTTTTTTTTTTTTTTTTTTTTTTTTGTTGAATTCCTTCTATCTAATTTTTTTATTTATTCTTTCTTCTTAAACTTTTTTTCTTCTTTTGTTGATGAAAAATTCTCTTGAATTCTTCTTAAATTCATTCTAAACTACTTTAATGAATAGAAGGTATATAAGGGATGGAGGGAGTGATTAAATCTCCCTACTACTAGAAAAAAAGCCCTCCTACTCCAATCTAAATGTTAAACTTTTAATGCCAATATTTCTTTATTGAACCATTCAATTACATCAAAAATACAATTAAATTGTGGAAAATCAAGTCAAATTTCTATGTAAAAAAATTTCACTTCAATCCAATTAACAAATTGCTAAAGATTTTAAAAATACTTACTAATCCACAAATTTCAATTTTGGAGATCTTAACCTACAAAAATCTTTACATACTTTGATCTAACTATTTGATTGACCTCAAAATTTTTACATACACTAAAAACTAGAATACCAACACACTATCCAAAATTCACTTGCATATACACCACAAAATTCAAGAAATCCTCAATTTTATAAAAGTAATTATATTTTTCAAAATCTAATCCATTCAAGAACATCACTAACTTTGAAAATCTTCCAAAAATTAAATATTAATTCAATTGATATAAAATAAATGCTCAAAAATCTCTTTCCAAGTCTGCTCTCAAATTCTACTCTTTAATCTCCTAAAGAACCATAGAGTAGCTGTAGGTACATAGTTTTGTGCCTTGGAATCTGATTTCAACCTAGGTTGACAACTGGTCCTCTCTGAGTATCAATATTTAGTAATTTGAGGTAATTTTTCCTTAAACCTATTGATAACTTCTTTTTAAACATGTCTATATTAAATACTTATCTCATTTACTTTGAATTGAGGCATTTATGCCCCTATAAAGCAAATAGTAGCCCCTTATTTGAAAGGCAGCATTAAGACTAAACTTTTTATTACCTTCCTATCATTTATCCTTGTTTTTCTACCACATCTTTCTACTAGGCTCTTCTATAACAATATCCATGTTTTGATTTTCACCATAAAGTCGAGTTACTACACCACGTTAGTCTTTGTCCCTTGTTCCATGTCTCACATTCCTCATTTCTAACTCCTTTGCCTTGTTTCCTATTCCCATCTCTTGTTTCTTGTCCTACAAAATTAATCATCATATGGTTTGGAGGATGTGGCTTTAACAATTCCTTGATTTTAATATACTTAAGTTTTGAAATATATATTTTTTAAATGATAAAAAGTATTTACTTTTATCATCACAACAAAGTCTAAGTGAAACAAATGGTTCTTATACAATTAATGTCATGAGTAGACAAACATGCTTTTATCAAAATACAAATAATATTTTGTAACAATATTAAAATCTGATACTTTCTTCCTCTAAAGAAGAACCTTGTAAAAAAAAAAAATTAATTTCAAATGATGTAATGCCTATACATTTAAAATTCAGCATACTTTACCATTACATTGTATACTTTCGTTTTTATTTTTAATCCTTGTTTTGATTTATAATCCATATTTCAATGAGAAGCATGCATTTATTGATATAGAATTTATTGGCACAAGAAAATTTATTATAATACTTGCTGCTTAAAAAGAGCTAATTATGCTCTTCTATATCTACAAATAATATCTTGTGCCATTCAATAATTATATTAATAATAGATTTTATATTTGTAGATATAATATTTATTGTTTAAAAATAAACTAAGAAAGAAAAATGGCACCTAGCTCCTTGACAAAGTAAGCACTGCTCCAAAGCAATGATAGAAATAAATAAAATGTTACCTTTTGTCTCAAAACCCGTTGGATTTTTAAAAACTAGGAGGTAAAATATGGGCTACAAAAGCCATCACTCTCATCTTGAAAGTAGTATTACCAAAAGGTCATTTTTTAAATAATTAAATGAATTTAACATTCAAAGCATTAAATGAGGTGGCTTAAATGGTCGAACTTATATCTAACATTCAAGCCACCTCAAAATCTAATAAATTAAATTAATATTGAATATATTAAATGTAAGATGCACATATATATATATATATATATATATAGATAGATAGATAGATAGAGAGAGAGAGAGAGAGAGAGTGAGAGTCTATGTATTTTCAAAAGCACAAAAGAATTAATTTAAAGATTGTAGGGACTTTATACTTAAGAGATAAGGTGAGAGACCACAATAGTTAAATTCTTGGATTGACTTAAATTTAAGAAGTGTTTTGAATTTTTATTATGCTTAGAGAAGTCAACTCAAAGGTCATAAGAAAGAAAGAAAGAAAGAAAATAGAAATAAAAATAGAAATGATAAGATAGAATTTATAATTCTCCTTCATGGCATAAATAATGTTGTCTAATGGAATTTCTATTCGACCAATTTCAAGAGGAAATTTTAGAAAAAACAAGAAGTTGTGTCATATATCGCTAAAAAAAACAAAAAAATTATTAAAAAGCAAAAATTTCACATTTTTTTGAAATTACTTATACATAATTATTTATTCCGTTCCATATCTTTGTCTCATTTTATACTATATTCACAGATTTAAATATCCAAAACAATATATTTCTTCCCAAAGCAAAGAAATTTTGTGAAACTTTTATACTTTGACTTTTCAAAGTGAACTTTTAGATACAAAAATCACTCATTGGCACTCAAACATTGGATTATCTAACACCCAATTTGAACAAACAGTCTTTCATGGGAGAAAGAAAGACCGCACAAACTTAAAACCATTTTTAAGATCAAGAGGAGCAGCACAGCTTACAATTCTAAACATGGCTTCAAGATTGAGAGTTAACTTTTAAAATTCAATGTATTATTATGATTAATATTTCATTTCAAGTGTAGACATTGATGTAACGAAATTTACTAATAAGTAAAATATGAACAACGTAAATATAGATATATTTGACATAAATCCTTAGCATAAAGGTTGTTTGAGACCTTAAAACACAGCATTATTTTTATAGGATTTAAAAATAAAAATAATTATTTTTTGGGTGGCTGATTGTCATTATATGTATGTGTATGTGTGTGTATATATATATATATATATACACACATTATTTGAAAACTTTGGGGTTCTCATTCAGCAAATCAAATTCTGATAAATTTTGCATGAATAATTTAATGAACACTTGTAAATTACAGAGGAAGCAAGAAATAGACCAAGAAAGGAAAAAAGAACCTAGCCATTTTCAATTCAACCACTTACAAAACCTAATTTCTTTGTAGGTTTGGTGTATCAAGGGATGCATGATGTGCACATATAGTATTTGTCACTTCAAAAGAAACTAAGCTAATTTAAATACCTAATAGCTACAAACAAAATATATATGTATAAATTTAAGTCCTTACATAGCTAAAATAAATGTGATGGGTAATTTGTTCATCATAATATCACTAAAAACAATAAATGCGACCCAAAGCGAAATACCAGGAAGGAGGAAGAAAAAGATAAAGAGAACAAGAAAAAACAGAAATAAGAAAACAGAGAGATAAAGGAAACCAGGACGAAGAAGAGAAAGGCAAACACAAACACAAGCACAGAGAAAAAGAAAAAGAAGACACGACTGGAAAGGAATCGACGTCGACGATAAAACTCAGTGGACGATAAGTGTGACGATATCGTGAACGGAAATGATATTCGTCACGCAGTCAAGCGATTTTAAAATTAGGTTATGTCCGTCAGGGTTCTCAAGGAGCTACGAAAAGCCAGGAGATGCTGCTGAATTCGAATGCGAGTGACGGATTTGACTTTCGCGTTGGATCTATGGCAGTTTCATTCTAAGCGGTGGGACAGGATTTTGTTGACATCTAGCGCGGCAGTTGCTGAAAAATTTTTACGATTTTGTATCGTCCCCCGTTCAGACAGGTGTGGTGGTTCGAACTGGTTTCGCCGCTACTTGTTCGCGCTCTCACCGGTAATTGGAATCTGCAGATTGACGCTTGTTGAGGCAGGATCGGGAGGCGAGGGATTCTCTCCTGTTTTTGTGTGTGACGGTTTAAACATTGCCGTCGCTCCTCTACGGCTTAACTGGTAGAAATTGGTCGGCAGCGAGTCTTTTGTGAGTCCGCGGATTGTCCCAGGGTTCGGTTGCGGCCGCGGTTGATGGTTTTTATGGCGAATCAGTAACGGGTTTGAAATAAATGTGGCCGCTGGTGGTATGGCAATGCTTGACGTCTTGCGACAGATTCGCGTCGCCTAGCGCTCGATGGTGCTCCCTCACGTCCTGGATCTGGCTCAGTATTTTTCTCAGGTATGTTACTAACGTCTTCTTCGTGACCGAGCAGCATCTTGTACAAGATAGAGATGCATTGGTGTAGCTTACAGTATCATGAGTGCAGGATGATGTCTTTCAAGAATTTGTTTAACTTACTTTCAGCGAGTATCATACTGTATGTCGAGGTTGTTTGTCTTCATCCAATACAAGCGTTGGAGAGGTTTGTGTTTGACTTGGTTAATTACCTGTCACGAAGTTTCATTTTTTTAATTAGGAACCGGATAGCCGCTTCAGTACGCGGGCAGTGACAGGGTCTCTGTCTCTCATTGAATTTAAGCGAACCGCTAAGAACTTGTAATCAATTTCTTCGTGTTTCACTTATTTCCTCTCCATCCTCAGATTGTGAATCGTACATTGTCACCATCTTGTATCTGGTGGAGAAATTCTGAAGTCATTGACCGTTCATCTAAAATTTGAACCGCCTCTTCTAAAAGGATCGAGTACTTATGAGTGTGGAGAATTCCTATGAACATTCACTGACAGAAATTGTTCCTAGGGACATTTCTAGGAACATTGAATGATAGACCCCGGATTTTTTAATTTTGCCGATGGAGTCTTCAGGATTCCATGGAGCTGCCCTCGGTAACTTTTTTTTTGAGAAGATGGAGTTTTTGTGGTGGTCACTGCATGGAGTGCAGAAATATGTGAGAGGATCTTCATTCTCAGGTCTAGGCTTGCTTTTCAGTGAATTGAATACTGGGAGACCATTACAATATCAGTACTGGGATTTCCGCAGATTCTGACATTCGAACATGCTTGCCGGTTTGATTTTCGATTGCTGTCGCCATTCACGCTGATCATGTTCCCTGACGAAATTCAGGAAGTGAGTGCGCAATAATCCCAAAGCAGTGTCAGCTTGTACGGACGCAACGGGCGCTTCCGAAAGTGTCAATCGGATGTTTTGGTCAGGTCTCCGTAAAGCTAGTCGAGTTAAGTTAGCTTTTTCAATATTACCGCAGCAGGAATTGCGAATACAATTAGCATGGATCCTGCAATTGTCACGTACCCTCTGAGTGATGCTACTTCACTCTATATCTTTCTCTCATGTGGCTGATTTAGTGATGTATACCAAGAGCCGACGTCTGGTGTGGTTGAGTTACATGGGACAGTGTCCATCAGAACATACATCATTCACGAGGAGCCCACAATCTACCAAGCAATGGAAGTCGCATATCCTACGATAGTGACGACAAAAGTGCCAGGTTTTCCAGCTTCACATCCTAACTGATCTGTAACTTTTGTGTCGTTCATAACTTTGCTCACTCTGCTTGCGGTGCCCACGTCCCTGTCTTTATAGCAGTTTCCCATCTAAATTTCTTGTCAGTAATGTTTCCCCTTCTCGAGCGCCGTCCCTAGCCACTGTTGTTACTTCCAAGGAAGTCTCCTACACTCCATTGTATGTTGATGGTGCCGTTGGCTCTGTAGAGATGGCTCTATCTGCGATTCTGGCATGCATCATGTGCGGCTGTCCACCATCATATGAGTGTTTCGGCAACATTGATAGAACGGACGAGACTGGTAGTAGCTTCATCAAGCCCTCCGTCATCGATATCGACTCAAGCATGGCAAACTCCTAACATAGCTAATGGCAGCCCGCTTTCATGGGCTTCAACAAGCCTGTCGAATTCTCATATGAAGAGCTGCTCGCCCCCAACTATCACTTCAGTGACGATATCTGGACGGGTTCTTTGTGATGATCAAACAGAATTAAAGGAGACGTAACATATGAGCTTAAGATTCTCTCCCAGACCCTGATGGTCAATGTGGTAAGCCTTCTCACTTATTTTTTTCTCTCCTGGTTATCATCTACGAGATGAATTGAAGAGTTAGAATGTGCTGTATTGTGAGCAATTCTCTTGCGGGTGTGGCTAGTCGGAATGCATTTCTTGAACGAGTATGTCGAGAATGCCTCACTCTGCTATCTTCACGACTACCAGATTGCGCATTCAAGTTCTAGCTTCTCGTTAAGTGGAGGTCTGCTGTCTTGGAAATTACGAGTCTCGACTCCGCTAGACGTTGCTTACTTAAACTAGTATATCAATCCTAGCTTGGTGAACAAGGATCTGAAGGGCAGCTACATTATACTTCGCAGGAGCTTCCTTGCGAAGGCAGCTTTGTATGGCTTCCGTGTGCCGGACGTGATAGTCGAAGCCCTACTGTGACTGAGCACATCTTTGGCACGCAGAGGTACATTACTCTCAAGCACGGGTGGGTCACGACCAAGCCTCATGTGCCCTCTTTTTGGGGGTGGTGCTGCTAGAGATTTGGTCTGGCCGGGAGGCTATGGTTAGGGGTGAATGTACGCGAAAAGTCACTCCACTTTCGCTCTGCCTGCGACAATCTTCGACATGGTCAGTGGCGACGATTAGATGTCGAAGTTGCATCATTGGAATGGGTGCTCGTCGCAGATCAGTGCCTATCCTCGTGACACCAGCCATCACTTCGGCCAGCTCGGCCAAAGTAAGCTACCTGACATTGAGGACTACAGCACCGAGTTAAGGAAGTTTCAGGCATTTCTGTGGTGAGATTCCTCCTCGAGGCACCAAAGTGCCCTCATCGAAGCTCGGTGATCAGTGATAACGAGTATACATCTTGGCGTTCACTGGAAGAATGCCGAGTGATCAGTTATTCTGTCGTGATCGTTTTAGGAAAGAACTCTGTACCTTCGCTCCTTGGGAAGTGTGTCGAAATTTTTGTAATGACGCCGTGCTCGTTTCTCTCCTTCGAGGCACTGTAGAACAGGTGCGTAACTATTCGCAGAAGTGGCCATTGATTGAAGAAATTTCTGCTCATAATTGGGAATCTTCCTATCTCCAAGATGCTGCCTCATTTGTCTCGCCTACAATCAAGCTGTAGGGATAAGAAAGTAAAAGACTCCGCGAAACTAGCGCGTGCCCACCACGTAGGACCACCCAAATACTTCGAATTACTGTACGTCTGAGCACCAACGCATGAAAGGGATGTTCATGTACTTTTATGAAAGTACTCGTCACTCGCATAAATTGCATGAGCATTATCGTCTTCTTTTTGTTTGTAAACTGGTTTTTCACTGCGGCTATTTGTTGCTGCGCTGCTTCGTGCGTGAAATTTCTTGCAACGAAAACTCCGTGTGAGGCCCAGCACCAGTTGCGTCGTGGCTACCCGGACGGAAAGATGCAGCAGGTCTAATAGATGCGTCGTCACCATGAAATGCGGTACATTCGGCAGATTGTTCGCAGCCTGTTTAGGTATTGAATGATAGTGGCCTTTCTGTTGGGCAGCCTCCAAATTGGACGCGAACAGACCAATTATGGCACATATTCCAATCTAGTCTTGTTCATGTTCATATTCTATAAATAGCACTAAAACCGCCATGCCCTGGCATGACGATCTCACGTACTTAGGGTTGTGTCTCGGGAGACGAGCAGCGGTGACACTCAGTTTTTGCTGTTTTCGGGTAATCTAGCCATCCGGTGCACGTGTTGTGCTCCACGGTGTGTTGGCAAACTATGAACACATTCACAACGGAGAATCCCAATGCAACCACATTATGTCGAAGACGGCTGGACGATGGAGATTTTGCCACAGTTACTCGATTGACTTCGGTGTTTTTGCTGCTGCAAGCGATTCCCTGGTGAACGCTGACGGTTATGTAATCCCTCCACACCTGCCCCAGATTGTACGATTGGAATGGGGTGAATGAATGTTCTCAGCAAATTGCAGAAACGCAGCAGCCTTTTCTAATGTTTCATATTTTGCTTGAGCACTATCCCTCAAAGAAAAAGAACCCTAAATCTTCGCACTGACAGAGTATCAAATGTCCCCACAGGCGCTGCCTATTCTAAACTTGGGAGAGCGTATGGAGGGATCCCCTGGATGGAGCATCTGTGCCATGAAGTTCACGATAATGCGTCAGATTCTACGGGGAAAAAACTGACAAATTTTTATATTTGGTAGACTTGGATACGCAGGTTGTATATTTCTGAATGCAATGGTTGCATCCCTGACGTGAAGGAGCATCCCCTCTGCGACAGGTTGAAGCAGGTAGAGAGAGTAAGACGAAGAGTTCTGTGGGCGCCCACCAAAAAGATTGGCGTACAACTCGTTCTGGGTCCACCTTTGCGTGGAAACGTGGAGACACTGGGATTCATTGCTTACGCAAGTGTCGGCGTCTCCATGGCCTATGTATCCCTGCACTTGTTAACACGTCATGATCATTTATCTCAGAATTTGAGCCCCCCTCCACATTTCAATCCTTTTTTCTTCCGCTACTCACCTGATGCTCTGAGCCCCTTCAAGGTGCAGTCCCTCAATTCTTGAATTCTGAGATGGTATGTGAGTGGGTTCCGCTACGTTGAACTTCACGACTATACACTTTTGTGTCTTGGGGGTCAGTAGTAGTCCTGTCCCTCGATCGATCCGCACGTGACGTAGGGTCACTCGGTGATGAAAGCTGCTCGTGGTCTTGAGAAGAAAAGTTCGAGGACTTCGCGTTGTTTTGCTAGAAGGCTAGTATCTTTGAGTAGAATGCGTGAAGGTTTTTGTTGGAAGTTTTCTTAGGATTGCATTCTTTCAATTCCTGCCCCAATTCTGGTGCTTGATTGCGGTTGAATGACGAAGGTTTGTTATGTGTTCCTCCCCGTTCAAGCATGGGCATTGGCTCAGGTTTTGTTTCTTACTGCTGAGCAGTGTGATAGCGTTTCTCAAGCAAGCTGTCTCTTTTTCTTGGGCTGGGGTTCTCTGCCTTTGGGTCGCTGTGGTGCCGTAATAGTGGATTGTAGTAGTACACGCATTCAGTCCACCGTTTACGGAGTGTTTTTGATTGTAGTTTTCTCCTCTGTAAGACATAGACGTATGGTCGCGTTCTAATTTTGCTCGTTATGTGTATTTCTCGTCGCTGGATTAGAGTGCTTTTTTTGTTTGGTTTCTGTTTTAATTATTAGTCGTTCTCTTCTGCAGGCTTCACTCCCAGAGCAATCAAACATGGCCGATTTCGAAGGCGAGGAGAAAGTACTGGCACAGGACGTAGAGTTGAAAGAAGATATCTTGAAGGAAGAAATGCCAGTAGAAGACGGATTGTCAATTGGGAAAATGGAACATGGGTAAGCACTTGTTAGATTTCTCGTAGCGGGCTTACGCCTGCACAACTGTGCAAATTGGAACATTTGGGCCATTCTATGGACAGCTTCCTTCGAGCGGTATTGTTTTAGTCTCGTGAAGAGTAGTTTTGGGTATTAGCACTTTGCCGTTGCTACTCGTGTTCCGGTTCAAAATTGGATTTTGGGAGTTAAGGTCGAGAGGCGCAGAACCGCTGAATTTGTATAGATTTCTCGACAAGTTGTGTACACTCGTTTGAAGCCGGGAGGTTTGGCCGATTGTACGAGGTTATAATTCTTTTACCGCCGAATGTCTGATACCCTGGACTTTGTAACCGTGTCTTGGGGTTATCAGTGTTAGCGGATACTTGGTAACAGTTGAATATAAAGAAGCGACTTACAAGAATAACAGACTGGAAGCACACGAATTTAGCCCACGGGCTGACATGTGTGGAGAAGAGCGTGTTCGAAGGTTGTGTGTTAAAAGAATACAATTTCAGGATATTTCTAATTGGAACTGTTTCTAAGCAACTCGACCCTTTAAACTCCGGATGTTTTCCTCAATCGCACAAACTGTTTCGCGCAGATGCAAGCATTACAGGAGGAGATGCCGAATCCGAGCTCCATGCTGCAATGAGGTCTTCGATTGCCGTCACTGTCACAATGAGGCAAAGGTCTCAATGCTCTTTACCGAGTCTACTTAATTTTAATCTTACATTTTAGCATTTGAAGTACATTAAGTTAGATGCATGATAGTGGGTGCACTTCACTTGTTCGGTTTGAAATTGCCGTCTTATTGTCTGCTCAAACCTACAGAGTCCGTTGATTGTTTCTCCGAGCCGGTTTGTAAGCATGAAAGGGGTAGTAGTTGCAACCTTCTGTATTTTCATCTTTTAAGGCCAAGCTATAAATGAGTAATCGGGTTGTTTTCTAATAGCTGTTTTTCCTTTTGCAGAACTTCTACGAGGTTGACGAATCAAGGCGCCATGATATTCCAAGGCACCGCGTTGAGAAGGCATGAAGCACAAAGCCAAACTCATCGTTGATTCATACCAGAATAATTTTGTTGTTGTTGTTAAGGGATACGTTGCAGAAGAGAAGTCAGAGAAAGTCTGTCACGAGTTTCAAATTGGGCAATGGCGAGATACCGAAAGAATAAAGCTGGTTCACTCGGTGTGCAGGTTATTTGCTCGCTTTGTAATCATGAGCAAGATGTGAAGCAGGTGTGCGAAAACTGTGGTGTTTGCATGGGTGCTTACTTCTGCGACAAGTGCAAGTTCTTTGATGATGAGGTCAATATGATCTCAACCTAAACACTAGATCATATGAAGAGCTGCGTGAGTGAATGGACTCCTTAGTTCAGTGAATGCAAATCGATTCCGTTACTCTTACTCTTAAGTTTGATGAAATATGTATCACACTTAGTGGTACGTTTTCAGAAGACGAAGATTTTCATAACTCTTTCTCATTCTTCTCCATTCCTCTGAGTATCATTAATCAGTATTAATGCTGATTGTGATTTGATATTGACAGTTACCTCACGACTTCAGTGTGTTATCTTGATTGTTGCAGACAAAGAAGGAGCAGTACCACTGTGATAAATGCGGCATATGCAGAATTGGTGGTCGCGACAACTTCTTCCATTGTGATCGTTGTGGTAAATCTCTTCCCTACATCCCTCTTGTGCCACGTTCACTTCTCTTCCACTATACTCCATTATGAGACACGTGCCATACCTTGAACCTTGTAAAATGAAGAGTGTATCTATATATAATATTCAATTTGATGATGTTGCAGGCTCGTGTTATAAAAATTCTCTTCGGAACGTACATCCTTGTGTCGAGAATGCCATGCACCAGAATTGCCCCATATGTGTGGAGGTAATTGAACATTTAGTATTCTATTTTTTATTCTATTCTATTTCAGGATGGGCTGAGCAGAATATGTTTACAGCCTGCACGTTTAGGAGATTTGATAACATTTGGATATCAAGATTATTTGTCTTTAGACTAAGGCTGGTTTTAGTGGAGCTCTAAATGCTCACGTTTGTATGGATTGTTCTGCAGTACCTGTTCGATTCTGTAATGGATATCTCCGTATTGCCATGCGGTCACACCATGCATCAATTTTGTCTCAAACAGATGAATCAACACTCTCAGTACGCTCCTTACCTGAATTATTTCTTTTGGATTAGTTCCTAGCTTGGAATTTGTGTCAACTTACGAGGACATCATAGAATGAGTGAAGGCCAAGTTAATGAATATGAGAAAGTCTTGCGTACTGACTGGGAAGACCTATTCCACATTATTATCGTTTTCCCTGAACATCGAAAGGGGATCGTTTTCCATGTGAGATGTTTTCTGGCTTTGGAATTCTGTCCAATTGTGATCAACTTTTTATAATACGTCTTGAGTGAATCCGAAAGAGCTCCTCGGCATTTTTAATGTTTTAAGACCTTCAAAAGTGGGAGCTTACCAATGTTTCATGCTGCATATTTCAGATATAGTTGCCCTATATGTTCAAAGTCTACCACAGACATGTCTAGGTTTTGGGCTCGACTGGACCTGGAAATAGCCTTAACTCCCATGCCTGAAGAATACCGCAACAAGAAGGTAAAACATTGACAGCCTTAACGACCCTGTTCTTTGCTATGAGGTCTTACTATATTTATGTCATCCGGTCAGATTTTTGAACTCCGCTGCTCATTTTTGCAGGTGTGGATACTGTGCAATGACTGCGGAACAACTTGTGATGTTTATTACCACGTATTAGGACATAAATGCGCAGGATGCGGATCATACAATACACGGTCGGCATCTCCACCCTCGTCCTCTAGACGTGTTGACAGGACCTTATCCTTAGTTGGATCATTGTCAGATCAAATGGGAAACTTAACCACTGTAGCAGAAATTTCAGCAGAGTAGATCAGTGCTTCTTCTCACTTGTGGATAGGTACGAATTAGTCTGTTAGCCCGTGGAGATTCATGAGGACCGGTAGTAACCAAAAGTGGCACAATCATTGTTTTCTCTCCTGGTTTTAGGATCCTGGACATTACGCAGTACAGTTTACGAGTAGGGACGGGACAACTCAGGAGAGTCCATTTATTTATCAGCAAACCAGATAAAATCGAAGCATACATTAGGGTATAAGTTTGGAGTGAAATGAGCAGACCAGGACTACGATACAGAATGGTGGATATGTCAGAATGTTTCCACTGATGTTCAGGTACTAGGCCCTAGGAAAGCATGCCTGGAGTTTCTAGTCTGCTCAAGGGAAGGCTAGGGATCTGTGCTGAATCTGTACCAGTTCTTATGTACAATACATGAAACTTTCTTACTTTTGGGGTTGGCTGGTCGGTTTGGTTTCCTCATGGACAAATCCTGTCACGCAATGTTCTGACTGGATGATGTACTCTTCTTGGGAGACCTTGCACTGATAGAACTTTCGCCAAGCTTTAGATGCATGATGTGACAAGTTCTTCTGTTGTTGATCTGATCAATTTCAGGATAAGTGACACTCTTTTCGATGATGGCACACGATAGGGTAGTTAAACCCAAGTACCCGAACGTTGGGGAGAGTCCAGGCTATGCCACATCTTCAACAACTCCAAGGCTGCTTGGTGCATCTCGGTTCGAAGCCAGACTGCTTTAGCAGCAAATTCTGTGAGCATCATTACTTAAACGCAGTCAAAAGAATGTAGCAGGACACTGACCTGAAACATGTGCTACATTTAGAGCGTTTCAACTCGAGACAGTATCTAGTATGACGTAGTCCAGCTGAAAATGTCACATGCTAAAGAGTCTCTAAGGTCTTGCCGTGATTGATGGGACCTTTGCAGGGAATGAGCAAACACAGTCGAAGTTGAGTCTACTTATCTGTTCTGCACTCCACTCTATAGACCTGTCAACTGGCCTCGACGTGGTCCATTCTGTTACAATGCACTTTCTACGAGGTATTAGTATTTGTGAGTCGTCACTCATAGGTGACATTTTTTCAATTATTCTGCAACCATTAACTCAATAACACGTCAGATGTCAAGTAAAACTTTAATGTTTAGATTACAGTTGTGGGAGTAGGATGTTCATCTTAGTCTTCTCGGATTCTTCATATGATTCTTTTCATGAGGTCTATCATCTTGGGAGACTCTACGCATGTTTTAATATTTTTGTCTAAGTTTAAGGAAGTTGTTAATGTATTTTATGTTGAAACCATGAATCTATTATTTACTGATATATGATTTTACGTACTTAATATGTATGCGATAACAATGAAGCACTTTTCTGTTGAAGCAACACATGGAATTTTTTTCAGAATTTGTCTTATCATTAATGATTAAGATGAACTTGAAAAAAAAATAAAGCACATAACAATATAAAAAAATTCTACTATTTCATATGACTGGAATGAATTGACATTGAGTTTTGAACAGGCTGCTCTCTGAAGAGAGTATTATAATTTGAGAATACAATTAAAAGCAAGTCTACAGCTTCTAGTGGAAAAATCAAGTATCATGCAATGAATATATATATATATATATATATATATTATTGCTAATACAACCACATTTTTTACTATTGCCACCACAATCTACCACCCGTTTGACATTTTATTTTTTATTTTTTATAGATTTGTGTATTTCAATCAAATGGTTTGAAAAGTATTGAACAAAGATGATATGTGGTGAATGAGAGTTGTGTGAGCAATAGCAAAAAAATGTGGTGGCATTAGCAATATTCTATATATATATAATAATAATAATAATAATAATATTTTTTTTAGAATATTAAAATAAGAAGTACAATATCATATATGTTTTGATATGCAAAGTTTTTCCAAAGAAGACTACTATTTAAAAACCTAGCATAACATTCATGTGTTTAAACCAAATCAATATATATATATATATATATAGATATTCTTTATTCCTTGAAATGATGTGTATAGATAATTGTTTTATATATAAACATATAAACACAGTCAGTTTCAGCTTTTTACTGTCTGAAGTGAGGATCCTCAATCCAGCACATGCAAGTGCGTATGTTGTCTACTTCCCCTCCATTAGTAATCCAACTCATCCTATAAGGTGATTTTTTTCTATTTATTTTTTATTTTTTATATGTTTGTTTGTTTGATTGTGTCTATTTTGAGTTGTCTGGCTTATTGTCTAATTTATGCATTTATTTATTGGTAATTTTGTGTTGAATTGCTTTACCCAAGTCAGATTGTCAAAATCATAAAAATAATCTAGTACAACATGATTTGACATTAGGAATTGGTAATTTTTGTACTAACAAGAAATGATTGGATTGCTCAACTATTTGTAAGATGAGTTCTAAATCATTTAGTATCAAATGGTACACGATTTAAAAAATATTTTTAATGCTATTAATTTAAATTAATTAAAAAATAACAAACATGTAAAAAAATTAGATTATTATTTTGAAAATAATTAGTTTTTTTATTTGTTTTAATATTCTATAATACAAAGGTGTCAGTTGAATGATATAGTATATAAATTATAAAAAAAATTATTTATAATTTTACTTAGAAATCTTAATAATACTCTATGATATATATATATATATATATATATATATCCAAATAATCACTTTACGTTTTATCTACCTTTGGATTTTAAAAAAATTATCAATTTTTATTATATGCTATAACAGGTCAAACCCATAAGAAAGTACTGCAAGTATTCATAGTAATTTTAATCTTTTTGAAATTTAAAATAAATATAGAAAATATAAAAAATTTGAATGGTTCATTAGAGAAACTATTGAAAACAAAAACCATTCCGGAAATGAAAAATAATATTTTAATTTTTTTAATCAAGATAAAGATGATAATAATGAAGAATTCAATACTGATATGGATAGTAAAGTGATGAATGAATTTTTAATGCACAAAAGAATTTTATTAGTAAAGGTTTTTTTTTTTTGATACAATTGATGATCTATATATTATTATTTTGGTGCCATTATTATTATTATAATATTTCCTAAGAATATCTCCTTTATAGTAGGCAATATATAATTATGATATTTTCTTTGCTAAGAAAAATGTTTCCAATTTGTTTTATAGTTTATGCAAGTATTTTGATAGATGTTTTGGAAATACAAGTAGCATTTCTTATTGTAAAGAAAAATTAAAATACAATTTAAAAATAACTAAAAATGGTTGAAAGTTTTGACACAATTAATTAACTTTTTTGTAAGAAAAACATGCCAACAAATTCTTACAACTAATCAATAGTGACTAATTGTAGAGGTATGTTGTGTTGATATTATTAATAGATATTTAGTACCTAAAAAAATAATATAATTATTACAAAAAACATAGATTTTTTTTAATTAAGATAGAAAGCATTAATACATAATGTAGAAAATTTTATTAAATATTATAAATTTAAATTAAGAGATTGATTTAACATTAAAGATTTAAATAGATAAGAAGCTCAAATTTAGCATGAAATCTTAGAATGAGAACAAAGATAAAAGTGATAAAATGATTTTAAAAAAAAAATAGTTTTATAGTATTTTATCATAGAATAATTAATTATATCACATTTAGACTTAGGTTTTGTTTTTAAAAACATAAAATATATTATTTAATTATTTTTTAAATAAATAAAAAATTATGTGTGCATATTTAGTATATTGATATGTAGTGTTGGATTTTAAAAATAATTAAAAATAATTAGATTAAAATTTTATTCTTTTATATTATACATGATATAATTGTGAGTATTTTTAAAGTATATTTAGTATATTTATTTATTTAGAGGTATATTATGAAAGTTGTAGTATATAAACATATTTAATAAATAAAAATATGTAAAAAATATAACTCTTCTTATATATCATATTATATAATAAGTGAATACTTAACATGCATCCATCTAAATGTTCATAATTAATGGTAGTAATATTTAATTAATTTAAAAAATATTTAGATTATTCAATAATTTTATAGTTGATAATCTATGTATTTAAATAATAATTACACTCAAAGAAATATTGAATTATCTATTGCCAAATTAATATCATCTAATAGCACATCAGAAGAATAATAAGTTTTAAATATAATTTTTAGTATGATATATTAATGTTTTAGAGCTTAGATATTTAAATAAATACAAGCTTGTATGAAGTTCGTATCATTTAAATTAAATCAATAGTATAAATTATAATTAATATTTTTTTAAAGAGAATCATATATATATATATATATATATACACATAGTTTTGAGGATAAATCATCACTTTAAAATAAAATTTCCAAAAAAAAAAAAAAAAAAAAAAAAAAACCCAACTGACAAAATCCTAACTCTCTTGAATATTAGTAACCTTTGATCCAACCATCCGAATAAGTTTAATTTTGCAACATATATCTAAAAAAATTACATTCACAAATCCAAAAATATTTACTTATAGATCTAGTACAAAGTTCATACAATTGACCAAAAAATAATTTCTTTTATATTCTACAAAAATAGAGACACCTAAAAAAACTTTAACTTTGTAAAGTTCTAAAAATATTTTTATCTACTCAAATTTCTCAAAATTAATGCTCAAAAAAACCTTATCAAGTCTACTCTCCAATCTTACTTTCTAATCAACAAAGCTCCTATTTGCCATAAGGATTAAATGTCCAATTCTCGACAAGATGCTTCTGAGCATAAAATGTAAAGATAGATGTTACAACTTACTTTCTTATATATGTATATTATAAATTAAGTATCATAATTTAAATTAGATGCTGATGGAGCATAAAATGTGAAGTTAGATATTAGAAGTATTCTTTTCTTTTAAAAATAGGTGAAGTGATTCTTAATAGACTTAAAAATTAATAGATTTTATGCTTTAGAATCTTAATATGCTACTAATATATTATAAAGCAATCTAATTTTCTTTAAAAGATAGTAATGAATCACATAATGTGAAATTTACAAGAACTGTACTCTCTAAGACATATATGGAGTGATATCCAATCGTCTTATAAATGATTGACTTCTATTTTTAGTTATCTTAATTAATAATTAATATATTTTTAATTAAACATCTAAATTTAAACAGATTATTATGAAACATATAATATAAAGTTGGATTTTAGAGGTATAATACTCTTTTAAACATATATGAAGCGATATTCAATGGCCTTACAAAATATCAACTACGATGCCTTGATGTCTTTATATGCTATTACTACATTGTGAATTACACACCTCAATTTTGAAAAGATAGTAATAGATCATATATAGTAAAGTTAGATGTTACCAGAATTATACTCTTTTAGATATGTATGAAGTGACGTCTGATGGTCTTATGAAT